TCGTGAGGTTGTTTCTTGGATTGGTTGCATTTGTTGCTACCTTCAAAACTTTGTTATACTTCGTTATTGTTCTAGATTGTCCCCACTACTAGTAACTAGTATCAGCCATGCGACATGCGCTCAGCTGCACAGCACGTTTAAGAGTGACAGTCACACTTCACTCACATCCATCCAGTCCCAGTGTGTAGTTGGTTGGTCAAGCCAAGCTGACATGGTGATAATGACTTTGCTTGAGCTACGATTGTGTTTGCTTTTGATTCAATGGACTTGGACCCCCAAGCATTTCCGGACTAGTTGCCACCCTGTGCCGTCGGCGTGCAGGCCTTCAAAATCTCGACAATTCGGTTGCTGGAATTGGAGCCGCGCTTTCAAACTGAAGTTCCTTAGAGTAAGGCTGTCAGCGGCAGGCAACCACAACTTAAAGCTTGCAACTTGCAAGAGGTTCTCTGGGGAGGTCTTACGGAGTGGATGAGTTGGCGGGAGAAAGCTGGGCCAAGATGGATTGTGACATCGGAATGCATGTGTTCAATCAGCTCAGGCATCATCTACCAGCCAGTACCAGGTTGCTCCACTTCCCCAAGAGGCTGACACAGTGCCGAACTTTGTGCGGCCTTTTCGGTAATTAACGGTTTCGAAAACAGATGAAGACCAATGCGATGGCATGGTGAGTAGAAACATTTTGTTGATTCTTGGTGTCACTGAACTCCAAGTGAACTGTTTCTGTTTCTGTATTTATTATATATTCAAACAAATTATTACTCATTCTGCAGTTGTGTGTGAAAGGAGGAGCCACCTGACCTGTGGGCTGAGATTTGGTGGTTACCATGGCTTGGCCGCTGAGCTGCCTTTGTTGGCTAACTTCTTAAGGTGAAGCTAAATCAAATCCGCCAACTCCAGTCAAGTTGCCCACTGAAACAACACCATGCACAATACTTAATGCACATGTTGACAACTGTTCTCATGTTTGCTGTTGTTTACTTGAATGGGAATTGTCCGGATTTCAAGTCTTAAGGTCCCGGGGAGGGGCGTGTTGCCCGGTTTGGTCAACTGTTTGATGCTTTGGAGAATCTTGCTGCGATTTGTACAAGTAGCTATCAGGCTGCATCATGGTACTACTCGCCGCGAACTTTGGAGACATGGAGTGTTCCAGCATTGCTTCAAGGGCTCGAAACTGGTTTGATCTCGTCGCATTTTTTGCACTTGTACCTTCGTCGGACCTGCCAGGGCAAGTGTTCTTTGCGTGTGCATCCGCAGCTTTTCGGGCCTCAGGATCTTGCATGTGGACCACTCATGGGATCCTGATACTGAAATCATGAGTTCATTGGAAACAATGTGCCAGGTGCACTCTTCCAAAGCCAGTACTGTAATTACTAAATGTGCAGGACATCCAAACCTCATTATGGAATATTATGCAATGACAATGTCATGCTATATCAATTAATTCTTAGTCTAGATGCTTCGCGAAGACAAGCAGTAGACAGGAAGACAAGCAAAGACAAGAAGTTAGATTTGACAAAGTACAAGACGGTTGGTTCCATGGACTGCCCTGATGGCTGAGCCTTGGTTTTGACAGGTTTCACTTTTCCTGGACCTGACTCTGTTGGGATTTCCAAGTGGCATTTGACAGAATGCTAATTGTCTACGTGAAGAACAGGGTGAGCTTGTAGTAAACATGTCTATATTGCTTGAATTGTAGCCTTTGAACATCATTCATCAATGCGGAATGCCTCAAAATTGCCTCAGGAAAGCTTGGTCGGTGGTGACGGTGGTGATAGCTTTAAAAAGACAACAGAAGAATGTACACATATATATTATATATATAGTGCCGTTAATTGCTTACTCATGCCCGGAGCCAAAGAGTTTTGATCTTTAATAAAAGACTCGGCCTGCCTTTCAAATACTAGCCGATAGCATGTTCCACGAATATTTTCCCGCACATCACGCACCTTTATTTAGCCTTATTTGGTGTTTGCTTTGGGTGTAGTTTTTTCGATTGGGCTGGGGCGACTGTGTAATGGCTACCGGCCCCAACCAAGCTCAGATTTGTGGACATTGTAGACCTTTTCGTTCTCCATGGTGAAACAATTCAATCAAGGTTTCAACTTGAACGTTGATTTGAAGCTTTCCAAGGATACGGAGGAGCCCCAGACACCTGGTGCCTCAACCGGAGCATCTACTGCACCGGGCGCAGAGCCTGCCAACCGCGAAAACTTCGATACATCACTGCCTGGAAGCACCGTAGCAGTGCCGCCCCTTTGGAACGGTGATGGTGCCATGGTCAAAAGTTTCATGGAGTTGGGCCGGTAAGTTGAGCAAAGCACCACTGGCCAGTTCAGCAAAGAACTGCCACTCTGTCACTGTTTTTTAAGTCAAGGTGCTGGCCGTAACTTGGTGCCAAGTGCCCACATTCTGCATGCCACACCAAAGATCAATAAATAATCGCCAAGAATCTACACCATTGGGATAATGGCACTGACTGGTGTTCCAGCAACTTTGTCTTTATATAGGTCTTTCCTGCAAAGGCCTTTGCCATGCAGACCGAGGCTTCCGACAAGAGTCAGCAATTCCAGCACCTCCACCCCGAAAGCCGCCGCCACTGCGGAACTCCACCATTGCACCCTGGGTGCTAGCGCCTTTGATTTGATGATGGCTTGATCGAGCCCCCTCAATTAATATGTCATTTGACAATATGTCATAATCAGCTCTTGAGATGCGCAAAGCGTGAGTTGGAGGGCTTGCAGATGCTTGGAGTGTTTCCTTATAATGTATTCATGATTCCATTGCGATATTCACCAGGCTCTGGAAAAAGAGGCTTCAATTGAGATCAAAAAAACGGGATGCCGGGCAGTCCTTGGTTCCAAGGCTGCGCGACAGCAAGATGTGCAGGAGGATGAAGAGGTGTCTTGTCGTGTTAGCACGCAGATTCAGAAACCATGGACACATGTAGCGCATTTGTAGTAGAAACAATGTTCGCTACTAGTAACAAGTGCATCGCTACTAGTAACAAGTGCCTTACTAGTAGTAACAAGAAACTAGTAGAAACAAGAAGCTACTAGTAACAATGATGTGACATGTAATATACAGGTGGAGTTTTGCACGCACTCCATTGCCGGCATTGTCGGAGTACTGTTGACGAGATGTCCATCCCAAGTTTCTGTAGAGTATATGAGTATACCATCGACTCGATTTGCTCTTCACCGATTCACAGCAGTGGAGTTTAGTTTTTGTGAAATAAGGGCAGGGAGGACGATTTTCTCGGATCTGATGAGGGAACACCTCGTTCAGGAAACCTGGAAGAAACTGAGTGCAGTGCAAATTGGATCACAATGGCATTGCTCAAATTTCAGCATGATTTTGGGTTCAGAATTGCAGAAGGCATTGGTGTGAAGCCCCTTGAACGCACAAACACCCTACTCAGGAAATCCACGTCACCTGCTTACAGGGAGTTGTATGTTTGATGTCGTGATCCCTTGTGAGTTTGTTCAGATTGGTGATGCTTCAGCATGTCACCGAGAGCTGCATGCGGCATCAAAGAAAGCTGTATATCGAAAACATTCATATATAACTATATATATCTTATATACCTTTTGCCGATAATATAATATAGAAGAAAATATATAAAGACAAACTGTTTCTCACAGCGTTTGATGTTTCTTTGCTGACCGGATCTTTCTTTTGAAAGGACAGGAGGGCTCACAGATGTCAGCCGGATCTATGACGGGGTCAGCCGCATCCATGCCATACAGCAGCTGGACAACTATTGAGAGCAACAACAAAATACCATGCGAGCGAATTGATGGATTTACAATGATTTACAGTATATAGACATTTACATGGATCATCAATGATTATATCTCAGATTATTGCCATGCCTTTTTTTGATCCTTTTGACCTAGCTGTTCCAGCTCTATTTGGCACGCAACTTGAAGCATGTTTTGTTGCAGGTATGGACAGTCAACCACCTGTGGAGCCAGATGCCAACTATGGAGGTGTCACCCTGTCCCAGCTGGAAGAATTCCTGGCCGTGAGGAAAGGACCTTTGACAAAAGAATGCTTGATATGTACAGGTACAGGTGTTCCTTACTCTATTTGACTCCCATTGTGTTTGTAACTGGGTAGTTGATTGTTTGCCAAGACGATCCAATATATTTTGTTGATCATGGCCGCATGCTCTGCTATGCTTGATGAAGGGAGGGCGCGACCAGCGCCTCGCGTGTTCTTTCTCTCACAACTACTGCCCTGGGCAACATGCACAAATAGATTTGCCGTATGCCGCTCCTCGGCATTCTCATGGAGAGTTGTGACGGGTTTGCATGGTAAGGAATGCGAATGGCGTGTGGGACGCTTCCTTTGACATTTGGAATTTGGTGCCTCGGTGCGATTAGGTAGCGGACAGTCAGAGTGGTCTGAGTGATGCAAATTGAATAGGCATCATTTCTAGATTTCAATCTCCTTACTGTATATATAATACATTTGTTTGGGGTCACGTCATTTTGAGATTTGGTTTCACTTGATGTGCCATTTTACTTGCGCAGTTTGGACACCCTACTGGATCCTGGTGACCCCGGTGCAAGCCATAAGGAGACGTTTTAGTGACCTCATTGAGGATTACACAGTTGCACTTCACGGATTGTACTGTTGCAGAGTTTTATGTGGAAAGGCTTGCTTTCGATGTTGTATCATATGGCGAGTCCATGATTGTTCATGCGGCCCTGTGGCTGCTACATGCAGCTGACTAGGATTTTTTTTTGCCAGGGGCTTTTGCAAGTCTAACAGGTGTGGAATGAGCACAAGCGTCCAGTGAGACTTTATATCAATCCTTGCCTTGCGTCCAGCGAGCAGATGCTGGATGGCCTTAGCCCGGTAGTTGAACAGTTCCAGAGTCACTTCAACTTATGTTTGGGAAGCCAGATGGCCGAGGTTGGCCTATGTTTTTCTGGTCATGGCCGTTGGCGAGGCAGAGGGTCCCTTTCAGACTGCGAACTTGATCAAGGCACCTCAGCATTGTACAGGAGGAGCGATGTAGACTCAAACAATGTGACTGGCAGTCATAGGTAGGCTCCACAATGACTGATACTGAAGACCAGGTTTGAAAGACAGAGTGAAGAAAAATCAAGATCAACTAAAATCGAGCAGCCACATGCGCTATTCAACTCCAATTTGTGATATTTGTGTGCCTTTTGAGTCGTAGTGTGCACGCTAGTAGTTCTGTCGAGGGAGCCGGATTCAATATGCAGGCGGCGCAAAGAACATCAAAATGAAAGGTCTGACCAATTATATACAATTGTATATCACCGATTCTGATTGTAGAATTCTCAGCTCCAACTGCTTATTTTCTTGATGAGGCCACCGTGGAAGAAGCAGTAGCTCAACGACCTCACAGACTGTGGGGAAGCCAAAGCTTTCGTTTGGATGAGATGGAAGACTTTGAGGACATCAGCTGGTGGATGAGGACCAGCATTGATTCGTTTGTCAGTGATTGGAAGAGACTTTGCAATTTGCAACCTGCATATATAAAAAGAGTACATCCTGCTTGATCAACTTGAGGAGCGCGCTTGCGCCCACATTGGATCCACAGTTCGAGGCCTTTTCATCATCAGCAACTCTTCGTGAATTGCGCCCTTCGTTGTGGAATGTGAAGACACAACCCGTCCAAATGGTAGAATCTTGTAGAACATTTTGATAAGCAGGTAGCTCCTTTACTGTGTATATAAAAAAACTATACAATTCTTTTCGCAATCTGTTTGGAATAGACCTTGGCTTTTGGCAAAATTAGCTTGATCCCGTGGCTACTCAGTCCTAGCTTCCTCCATCTCTCGGACATAGCTATCAATTTACTGTATTAGGAATATAGCTATGTATTTGAAGGCCTTTCTTTAGACAATGTGTCACTATATAGTTAGTTATGTAAGTTATGTATATACTTACATGTTACATATATACATATATATATATATCTATCGGTGTTTCAGGAGTTCTTCACACTGGTGTTTCATTCTGGTGTGTAGAGCCCGTAGATCCTTCCAACATGCCTTACTGTGCAAGGTTTACTGCATAAAAGCATTCACGTACTCCAGACGAGTTAAGTGTATCTATTGTGGTTGTGCTCGAGGCAGTA